TTAGGCTGGGTTCTTGAAATAGGGATACTGAGAAATGGGGGCACTGAAAAGGTTTTAGCTTAAGTAAAATAGAAACAGTAGCTTTGGCTAAAATGTAACTCCTCCCGTAGATAGATTCCATAATTAATCAACTTCTTTGCAATCTCTAAAGAATTTGTGGCCCAAACGAGAGAGGATGGTTTTCCTCCTGGAAACAAAGGCAAAATCAGCACACAGGAATGGTTGAAACAATCCCTGTGTGTAGGACACGGCCACCCTAATGACTGATGCGATGACCACAACTATTGGAATAGAAAAGCAATACGACAGTCCCTGACCACTGGGTCTAGGATCTTGAGTTTTTCCTCCTTAAGAACCCATGCTGCCCTCCAGTCAGAGAAGTAGATGTGGATGAGACCCCGTCCCTGTCCTTCTGTATATTCATACACAATAATCGCTTTGCTCTTTGCTCTGAGCCCTTTCTCTGAGTAGTGACTAAATAGCAGCAGGTGACTAAGAACCCAGTTTTACCGTTATATTCTCTAGAGAAGCAAACAAAGTGACGCTTCTGTATGTATATATAAAGAGACATTTCTATCAAGGGAATTGCTCACACAGTTGTGGTGGTAGCGGTTATGTGCCGTGGAGTTGGTTCTGACTGTATAGGGTTTCCGAGGCTGTAAATCTTTATGGGAGCAGAAAGCCTCATCTTTCTCCCGAAGAACCGCTGGTAGTTTCAAACTGCCAACCTTCAGGTTAGCAGCCCGATTTGTAACCACTATGCTACCAGAGCTGTTTCACACAGTTGTAGAGGTGGGCAAATCCCAGGTCTGTGGGTCAGATATCAGGCTAAAGGCTTCTGACTCCTGTAGCTGCAGTGCTGATGGACCAAGATTAGCAGATAAGGTGGCAGGCAGGCAGGTTGGGGAGATGAGACCGCAGACTGCTGATGACTCCCTAGATCGGCAGTCAAAAAAGCAGGATACTGCTCAAGTCCAAAGAACCGGAGGTCAGATGATGAGCCAGATATATTGGAAGCCAGCCACACCCCCAGGGAAATTTCCTTTCAATTGACTGGCTGTTCATAGCAGCTCTAATTATATTAGATTTCATTATGGGGGATGACTACATGTTAACTATCAAACCACTGAGAATCCTGGCCCAGACAAGTTGACATAAAACTGTAACTATTATGGGGAGTTATATTCTCTAATCTTTTTTTAGATCACTAACAGCAACGACTCAAGGACACTTCACAAAAACACAACAACAAGAGCAACTACCTACAGTATGTCCCTGTCTTAGGCTGGGCCCTCTATAGAAGCAAAAACACCACCATCTAACAACAACATATTTGTATGTATTCTCAATGAAATGGCTCCTATGGTGCGGAGGCTTGCAAGTCCCAAATCCATGGGTATGGCTTCAGACTGGAGGCTTCTCCAACTCATGCGGGTACAGGGGCTGATGAACCCACATATGGGAGGCCATACAATAGGCTGTGGGGCTGCCGAAGTTGGCAGGTTAGATGGCAAGCCACTTGCACATAGAGCTGCAAAATCTAGCAAATCCCAGAATTGGCAGGTAAGAAAACAGGCTGCTAGCTGAAGTCCAAAGAATTGGAGGCCAGAGATAATGAGCCAGATGCAGGAACTAGAGCAAGGGAGAGCCTTGCTAGGGCTTCCATATTTGCAATGGATATAGGTCACATCCCAAGAAAGCTTCTCTTATGTCAGAGTAAGGGTTTGACCTCAGTCATGCTCTCTTGTAAGGCTCAAGATACACCCCATGCTAATCCTACCTCATTAACACATTAGAGATTAGGATTTACAACACATAAACTGAAGAATATATATACAGAGCTCTGGTAGCTTAGTGGTTATGAATCGGGCTGCGAACCTTAAGGTCAGCAGTTCAAAACTATCAGGTGTTCCATGGGAGAAAGATGAGGCATTCTGCTCCCGTAAAGATTTACAGCCTAGGAAACCCTGTACAGGGTCGCTATGAGTCAGTTCTGACTCCACGGCACATAACCACCGCTACCACCAAACTGAAGAATAATTATATCAGATCACTAAATGGAGGATAACCACACAGTACTGGGAATCATGGCCAAGCCAAGTTGATGCAGAACATTAAACATCACAGTCCTTGATGATTCTGTTAGCCAGAGGGTTAGATGTTCAATCTAGATGTTAAGGATCTTAAAGAATATTTCATCTTCTAAAATCTAAACAATCAAATTATGTCAGTGATGATTTATCTCTTATAATATTTTCACCTATCCATATTCTTGGTGATATTCTATAGGTTTTAATATTTATAGTTCTTTAATACAACTCACACTGCCTCCCTTTGTGCCCCTCCCCACCGCCGATTTAAAGTGACATATTTATTGTAGCATGTTTATCCTTTCATTTTTACCTTCAGTAGTTATTGGTCTCTAAAGGTATAACACTGAGATAGACACAGTAAGGTAGTATATTTATGACTCTGTAATGTACGTATTTTAAAACTCATTAAAGCTAACTAAAGATTCAAGCTAAGTGGAAAAATCATTGGATTTGGAGTAGTGGAATAAATTACGTTGTTGTTGTTGTTAAGTGCCCTTGAGTTGGTTCTGACCCATAGCGACCTAGTATACAGTTTCCAAGGAGTGACTGGTGAGTTTGAACCGCTGACCTTGTGGTTCAAAGTGACCATGAGGTCTTGCACTTACACTACAGTGCCATGAGTTCCCTACAACTAGAAGTTAAGCACTAGACTGCTAACCACGAGGCTGGGGGTTCAAACCCACCAGCTGCCCCTTGGAAACCCTATACAGGGTCATTATGAATTGGAACCAACTTGAAGGCACTTAACAAGAAGAAGAAGAAGAAGTAGGTTTTCCAAGGCCCTCAATAGCAGTGTATTCATAGTCCAAAATTTGTTTTAATTTGCAAAAGTAGGATATTTAATCCAACTGTCTCTTTGCATTCCGACTTCCCTTCCATTCTGACTACCCTTTCCTTTGTTTTAGGTGGTATTGGATGGCCATGGATTTTTTTTTTTTTTTTAATCTGTCTAGGGGGAACAATGATTAAACAAGGAACACATGTGAGTTTAGTGGCATGCATTTATGTGGTTCACAGTCACTTTCAGGTACTGTTAAAATATTGTTCACGATGGGTGTAGAAATGGCTTTCTGGAATATACCCTTATACTAAATCAGCCAGTACTGTGTCCTAAGTTGCAGGACCAGCAGGCAAAGAATGTTTTGTGGTGCCTGGCACAGTAAATCCTGGTTAGGAGAAGTGAACAAGGCTTGAAATAAAAGAGAAGTTAGTCCATAAAAAATTCTTTCAACTCTCAGAAGTAAAAAATTCTAATTAGAAGCATCAATTCTTTCAATAACTAATCAAAACAGAGGTACCAGCACATCACAGAATCTACTAAGTAATGTCATACATACAATTAAAAATGTACCACATCATTTTGTTTTATTGCAAATCATACAAACTAGAAATACTAGAATTCCAGTGTTTACAGGACTCACACTTGTAGTTGTACTGCAGTGAGTCTGTCTGCATGTGAAGTCACATGTTTTATTTATCCCAACAGATCAGATGATGTCTGAATGTAGTAATCAAATTTTGTCCTTGAAAACTCTGGGGTTCCAGTAAAAACTGCATACAAAATGCCACTGAGGTAGTCAAGTGGCCCTGAATTGTGTAGTTTATATATGAGAGAGGAATCCAGTGTGGCGCTGTGGGTTAATGCACTAGACTGCAAAGTCAGTTTGAACTGCAAGGTTGGTGGTTCAAACTCATCAGTCACTCCTTGGAAACTGTCTAGTAGGTCGCTGTGGGTCAGAACCAATTGTATACTAGGTCGCTATGGGTTGGAACCGACTTGACAGCACTTAACAACAACAACATATATGAGAGAAACCCAAGTTTCCCAAATTTGGCAGCAACCCTAAATATGACAGTATCAATAATGAGAAGAAACTTATAAACAATAATAAAAAATTTCTCATCAACCAGACTAAATCAAAGACTGACTCATCTTTCTATTTTCTTTATAGAAAATATTACAAAATAATTGTCAGAGGAAAAAATGACCCAAATATTTAGTCAAAATACGAAAAATATTTATAATGTGCGTCCATTAGGTCTAGAAACACAGATGAATATATACAATGTCATCAGGACATCTTTAATATTCAGAGCAAATACAATAATAAAGGATGCGTCCAGACTTTATAAACACCCTGTAGAAGTGTATCAGGCAGTTAATGAAAATTTTATATAGTTGTTGTGTGTGCTGTTTGTCAATTTTTACTTTTAAAATACTATCAGGATGGTCAGATTTTTATTTGGAAGATGTTTAAAGATGTCATTTGTGGTTTTTCATTCTAAATATATATAATTCACTTTGTCAAACTTTGTGTTCATAATTTTAAGAAATTCTTTATCTTAAAGAGGGCCTTACAAATTGTATGAGCTTCAATGATTGCAAAACTAGAACCTGCTCGTCTCCAACCATCTCAGAGAAGCCACTGACTTTCTTAGAAGCTTCCGTTTTTCTCTTTAAATAAAAAAAGAGGGGGGGAGGGCATTTCCTCTGCATTTCCTTAAAGATGCTTGAAGAACAAACTGGTGGGCAAGAGAGTTCTGCAAACCACAATACTGCCTCCAGTTGTGAAGGGCTCTGACCTGAAACCTAAATGCTTGCCTGTAGTATAGTTATCCTCCACGCACTGACCCCCACACGGGATCTACCCGGCCCTGCAGGACACCAACAGTGGTGGAGCAAAACCGACTGGTGACGCCGGCTGGGATGGGAGAGGACAGCGTGAGGGTGGGGCGAAGGCTTCTATTGGGAGCAGAACCTGGGGGGCAAAGCGAGAGGTCGCGGAGGGGGCGTGGCTGCTAGTCCCTGCAGGGGCGGGGCACCAGCCCCTCTCTCGGAGCCCTGTCGTAGTCTCAGCAGCGGAAGTTCCGGTGTCGGCGAGTGGAGGTCAGAGGTCAGCAGGAAGTCGATACGTGGCTGCCGCCTGTCCCCGCCGAGGAGGCGCAGCAGCCGGAGATGGCGGCGGTGCTGAATGCGGAGCGACTCGAGGTCTCTGTTGACGGCCTCACGCTAAGCCCAGACCCGGAGGAGCGGCCTGGTGCGGAAGGCGCCCCGCTGCTGCCACCGCCGCTACCGCCACCTTCGCCTCCCGGGTCCGGCCGGGGCCCGAGCGAGCAGTCGGAGCTCGGAGAGCTGGCGGCTGGGGGCGCGGCGGAGGAGGCGCGGCGGCTGGAGCAGCACTGGGGCTTTGGCCTGGAGGAGCTGTACGGCCTGGCGCTGCGCTTCTTCAAAGGTGAGCGGGGCCGGCCGCTCCCCCTCATCTCCCGGCCCTGGAAGCCCGCCCTGGGCTGTGCCTCCAGGGTGACTGGGCCAGTCTCCCGCACCCACCGCGATAACCCGAGCAGGGCTCCGCCCTTGGGGGTACTGGAAGCTTGTCGCTACCCGTTTGACCACCAGGTCACACTCCTGACGGGCCTGGTACCTTGGGTTAGTACTCCCAAGTCCCCGAGGTTACCAGCGCATTTTACCTGATTTAATATCTCGGATTTCTATGAGGCAAGGTATCTATTTGTGAGCTCTCTCTGTCCTCCAGAGATCCCATTTTGAGGTGCCTTCGCGCCGTCGTTTTCGTTGGCACGGGCATCAGACGTCTCTGAGTTTTCTTCATTTTCCATAGTGGAATAAGTCTTTCAGATGCTACATCGTACTCTGTTCAGCCATTCTGGGGGTCCATAAACTCTAATATGACTTAATCACCTGGCAGTAGTAATGTGGCAGAAGAGAAGTAGTATTAAAGTAAGTACATCCCTTCCGACTTGTCAAACTCAAAAGGGAATGGGATGTCAGCTCTGTTCGAGAAACTTCTAAATGGTGAAATTAATTACCTTGTAACAATTTAGGAAGGGTGAATTTTCAAAGTAAGGCCTAAACGTGATAGTGGTGGTTATGTGCCGTGAAGTCGGTTCCGACTCATAGCGACCCTGTACAGGGTTTCCAAGGCTGTAAATCTTTACGGGAGCAGAAAGCTCCATCTTTCTCCCGCGAAGCAACTGATAATAGTACCTATGTGTTTATAGCAAGAGTTGTTGAAATTGTAGTGTGTGGTGTTTTTTCATTGGATGATTCATATAGTCAAATGGTGGTGATAGTCACATGATTTTTTCAGTGGGAAAGACTGTTGAGAAGTCGTTAGTTTGATTCTTTGAGATATTTAGTTCTCGTGGGCTGGATGGGTAGGAAGAGATATCCGAAAGTGAGACTTTAATAAAAATGGTTGCTAAGCTCTATACATTCCAGAACAGTGTATTTATGACACTTTGCCTTTTGAGAGTACATATTTTCTAGCTGCAGTTGAGTAGTTTAATGCAGTGATACACCCAAAAGTTGTTTCCTCTCTATAGACTTAAATTGTGCAGTGGCTCTTTATGAATTTTCCAGAGTTAATGATCATTCCACATTCTTTGCAGTTTTTATTTTAAAATTTACCCTTGAAACATTTATTGTCATTGCACCGTGAGTTCAGCACTAGGTAGCCTGGGGAATTGGTAATGGCTAATGGCTTTTGGATACTTGACCTGTAGGTCACTGGCTTGAATTTAGTTTACTGTAGTGGTGATATATAAGGGGGCTTCAGAAAGTTTGTGGAAAAAAGGAATGAAAAGATAATGGAATTTTTTAATGAACTTTTAGAAGCTCCCTTGTATACCACTTTAAAATTTTCTAGTATTCAATCATACTATATTGTAGTGAGAGAGAGATACAGTGTGCCTGATACTCACCCTTTGCCTTCAGTTCTGACTCTGGTGACCCTGTAGGACATGGGTTGTTGTTGTTAAATGCCACTAGTCATAGAGACCCTGTATAGGGTTTTGGAGGAGCGGCTGATGAGCTTGAACCACTGACCTTGCAGTTCAAGCTGACCTTGCAGTCCAGTGCATTAACCCACAGTGGGTAAGGGGTGGGGAACCTTTTTTTCTGCCAAACTATATATCATTATTCACAGATCATACAGAATTATCAACTTAAAAATTAGCCTGCTAAATTTGGTCAAACATTTAATTAACTCACCCCTAATGCACTAGTAACAACAACAACAATGTGTCAGTTTAAGGAGCTCTGGTAGCGTAGTGGTTACTAATTGGGCTGCTAACCTCAGGACCCGCAGTTCGGAAACTACCAGCTGTTCCAAGGGAAAAAGATGAGGCTTTCTGCTCCCTTAAAGATTTACAGCCTTGGAAACCCTGTACCGGCTCGCTATGAGTCGGAACCAACTCCACGGCACATAACAACAGTGTGTCAGTTTGAACCACAAAGTGGTGGTTCAAGTTCATCAGCTGCTGCTCATGTCCTACAGGGTCACTAGAGTCGGAATTGAAGGCAAACGGTGGGTATCAGGCACACTGTCTCTCTCTCACTACAGTGTAGTATGATTGAATACTAGAAAAATTTAAAGTGGTATACAAGGGAGTTTCTAACAACAGCAGCAATAGGATGTTGCCTTGGAAGGGCCAGTCCAAATGATTTCGTGGGCCTTATACAGCTTATGGGCGGGTCATTCCCCATCCCTGCTCCAGTACAGAGTGGAACTGCCCATGTATGTCTCCTCCAGAGTGGCTGGTGGGTCAGACCACCAACCTTTAGGTTAGCTAGCAGTCAGAGCTTTTAACCACTACCATCAGAGCTCCTCAGAAAGTATAATTCTAGCTTTTGCCACATCCCTAACAAAAAGTTAAATGGGCAACTTCATTTTCAGAACCTATCTTCTCATTTGAAAGGGTCTGTTTTGGAAGATTTAAACATTGCTTAAAATGGTGTAAACTTAATTTTCTTACTTTGGGAATCAGGAACCTTGGGATTTTGTTTACTGGGTAAACATCTAGGTACCTCTCCCAAGCTCAGTTTACTCTTTTTTTTTTTTTTAGAGGAAATAGAGTAGATTGTACAGGGGAGCTTCAAATAGTAAACGGGAAAATTTCATTATCTTTCAAGTATATTTTTCCACAAACATATGAAATTCCCTTGTATGTGATGCCCCAGGTTTAAGATTTAGTGGTCTATATCTAACAGATTATTTCAAAATGTTTATTGTGTGATAGGAATTCCAGGGAGCCTCTAATTTGGGGGTCTACCTATCTAAGTCACTTTATATATATATATGGTTCACTCAGTTCCAAGATTTAGCTCCCAAAGCAATATCTGAGTACTTAAAAGGAGAAATAACACAGGATCAATTAAAAGTACCTTTTTGCGTGAATCATTACATCAGCTAGTTATGAAAAGGTTGTTAGTATAGGAGATGCCTAATTGGGGGTGGGGAACATGGATCCGAAGTCACTCAGGAGAATTATGGAAAGTAGAGTAAGGCAAGTGTTGCTGCCCTTGTTTTAATGTATAGATTTTTCTGGCGAAATACTTGTGTTTTAATCAGTCTTGCATTGATCACTGTTTTGTTATTTCGTACCAATTGCTCATAAGAATGACAAATAGCATTACATATTCTCTTCTGCTGGAAATATGAATCTTAAAAACATATGTGACTTTTCCATTGATAATTGCTAGAATTAGGAATCAGGAACCCTGTTTCTCACTCCAACTCTGTCGAGGTGGTCATAGCCAATGACTAAATCTATAAATCAGCTCCTTTTCTTAATTTTGTGAAGCTACAAGTAAAATAACATGAAAATATAGGTAAATGTAAGTATTTTACTAATCTAGTGTTATCATAATGAAAAAAAATATTTTCTTTGTTTTGGAGGCTAAGAGACTAAATCAGAAGCTTGGCTATCTATTCCTCTGTGGGCCTCTCCCTGTTTTGGGTGTCTGCTGGCAATCCTTGATGTTCCTTTGCTTGTAGATCTTGTCTATCCTATTCTCCTTCTATTCTGCTCATTTTATAGAAACTCTCGTTTCCAAACAGGGTCATATTTATAGGAACTTATGGTTGAAGCTTCTAAGGAGCTCTGGTAGCGTAGTGGTTACGAATCGGGCTGCGAACCTTAAGGTCAGCGGTTCGAAACTACCAGCCGCTCCGCGGGAGAAAGATGAGGCTTTCTACTCCCGTAAAGATTTACACCCTCGGAAACCCTGTACAGAGTCGCTATGGGTCGGACCCGACTCGATGGCACTTAACAACAACAACAACAACATGGTTGAAGCTTATATACATTTTTGGGAGATGCAGTTCTATCTGTAACAGATGTGTAGACCTGGTGTGGCACTGTGGGTTAATGCACCAGATGGCTAAAGCCGTTTGAATTGCAAGGTTGGCAGTTCACGCTCACCATTTGCTCCTTGGAAACCCTATACAGGGTCGCTATGGGTCGGAACTGACTTGATGGTGATTAACAACAGCAACATAGACATGTAGGAGTCCTGGTGTGGTGTTGTGAGATAAAGCACTAGACCGCAGGTTGGTCTGAACCACGATGTCGATGGTTCAAACTCATTAGCAACTTCTTGGAAACCCTATAAAGGGTCACTATGAGTCAGAACTGACTCGACGGCACTTAAAAACAACATAGACGTATACTACATTCCCTTTTGCCATTAAGGAAACTTATTTTCATAAGAGGAAATTAAGACCCAGTGACAATTGCAATACAATATTGGAAGAATGAAGGAGCAGATGCCATTCCAGAGAGGAGGAAAGCCAAGAGCCATGAAGTTCTGAAAGGGCAAGTGATATGTATCTGTCAGGTGGCAAATAGGAAGTACTTTGACAGAGAGCTGAAAAAGTAAGTTGGAGACAGATTGTGTTAATAGTTTGACCTTTTTTTTCAGTAGATAGTGGGGAATCATTGAAGGGTTTTAAAGTGAGAAGCAGTTACCCAGTTCTAATTTAGCAAGTTTAAGTTTATATGGATTTTCAAGGAGTCCTGGTAGCACAGTGGGGTAAGCATTGGTTGCTAACTGCAAGATGGGCAGTTTAAACCTGCCAGCTACTCTTCAGGAGATAGATGAGGCTGTTTGCTTTCATAAAGATTTACAATCTCGGAACCCTTAAAGAGCAGTTTTATTCTGTCCTTTAGATTCTTTGAATCTGAATTGACTCAGTGGCAGTGGGTTTATATGGATTTTCTTCTGTCCTTGGGTTAAGGGCCAAATGTATTGGCTCTATTGTAGTCTTTATACATCTTGCATAGAGTTAATCTGGGGAGCTGTATTTTGGGTTCTAGTGTTCTTGGTGGTATTTACTAGTTGCTGTAATTAGCTGATAAATAAGTTATTTTAAAATTTACAGTAATCAACAGTTACTGAGCAGATGTTCACTAAATGTCAAGTACTGTGCCAAAA